GTGCTTCATTCTGCAGGCCCATCCATATCGATCAGCTTTGGAAAACATTTTATATTAATGAAGCTTCATGGACCTCATGAGAGAATCCATGCTGGACCTGTTCCATAACCATAACTCAGTGCATGTGATGTGTGTCAGCAAAATGAGTAACAATCAGTTACACCCCGGCAGATATTCGAATGTTTTCTGCCATGTTTAAATGACCAGTCCTATCTATTCTTTCTTATAGGCTTAAATTTCACTAAACCCCTACTGTCTTCTGTTTACATTTCAAAGATGTTATTTGGTTAGTGACTGATTAGGATCGTGTTCGTTTGTTCATTGTTTGTTTGTTTGTTTGTTTGTATTTGATTGTTTTATTTTTTAACTTCAAGAGAAATAAAAAAGAGAGGCTGGTGAGAGAACAACTGTTTAGAGCTGCTATAAGCAGGAACTAACTTTTGTTTTGTGGACATTACATGTAAGTAGAAATGTATAGCTGTAATGTGTCATTCTTTAATAAACATTATTAGTATTTTTTTATTATTATTATTATAAATTTTGCATTGTATATATAAATATATATATTCATTACATTATATTTTTCATTATTATTAAATTAGGTTAAAAAATACAATTAAAAAACAAGCATTTTATAACATGGTTTTTATTTGATTTTTTAAAACTGTATTTTAATGTATTTTTAGTACTTTCTATCTTCTATATATTCCTGTCTTTCTATAATAAGAAGAAGAAATGAAGAAAAAGAAGAATGATAATAATAACAATAAATTATTATTATTATGATTATTAATGTTTTAATATGTTAATTAATATTGTTCACATTATATTATTATTATTAATGGTTTAATACTTGTATTAGTATTGTTTACACTTATATTATTATTACAATAGATAAAAATAAAAACTAAACTAAAATAAAAAAAACATTTTATAAAATACTTTTTTATTTTACTTCTAAAAATATTTTAATGTAATTATTTTGTATTTTCTATCTCTTCTACCTATGTGTATGTTTCTATGGTCATTTTAGCTTTTCTTACGACTCTTTTTTGAATTTTAATGAGAATGAGTGATTAAGTTTGGATCTATATAATATATTTATTTATTTTTTTCCCTCTCATAATAATAACAGATGAGACCAAACAGTTTGTAAATCTTGCTAAATCCTGGAGCTTTGTGGGATGTGTGTTCACACTTGAGGCCCAGTAGTCCAGGAGGAGAGAGGATGAAGTAAGCTCTGTCTAATTAGCCTGTGTTATTAGCTTTCACCATTCCGGATGGCATTCATGTAGTGCTAGTTTGCATGTGTATGTGAATCTGACTTGTGCTCTCATTTCTAAGATAGTCTCGTATTCAGATAAGCATAGGCCATAGCCCAGGTGAGATTTACCAGCACTGCTAGTGGTGGCATTGAGTTCTGATTCCACTCGCTTTTTTTGTCTCTTCACGGAGATGTGTGTTAAATATTAATCAGTGTTTCTCCTGTGAGAGAGCTCTCAATGTTTGGCAGCTGCAGTATTGCATTGTATACTGAATCTCTCATCTCTCTCACTCTCTCTGTCTCTGCCTCACTTTGCATTATGTTTATCTACCTTCCTCAGAGGACGGTGCTCAAAGCGAGACAGTCTGAGCACAACCCTGATAATTTAACACTTTAGTAATTACACCTTTTAAGCCTGCTTTTGTTATGGGACCACAAGACAGATCTCATGCTATTTAGGAAAAGTCTGGATTCAGACTCAAAGAAGGAATATTTATCTTTATTATACCACGGCGATGTTGAATGCTTGATTCGGATCGGTCTGAAGGTAACAGCAGGTCCACGGTAGTTCCAGCTGCAAGTCAAATCACACATTTGTGTTAATGCGCTTACTTATAGTAACTTATACTTACTTATAGTAAGAAGGACTTCATATAAACCGGTTAAAATGTTATATGATGATATGCTTTTCTGTGAGGAGATCAGTGTAACTTATTACCTCCGGGTAGCTGTGCGATTAAAAACCAGATCAGCTGCTTTTTTTTTCTTCTTCAGTCATTTTAAGAGTGTTATCAGAAACACAGGAACCACTTCTCTTCCTCTTTTCTCGTCCCCTCATCGGCCACAAGAAGTGTAGTCGAGGGTACTCCTCATATGCACTCAGACAAAGCTTAACCCACTTTACATATAATGTTAGCCATAGAACATCTGAAAAAGATGGAGGAGGAGAAATGAGGAGAGGAAAAGGGTAGAAAAAGCATTAAGAGCGGTATGAGAAATGAAGATGGGGAAAATAAAGGAGGGGAGAATGGAAGAAAGAAGAAGAGAGGAGGAAAAAGGATAAGAGGAGAAAGGAGGAAAGGAGATGAGAAAGGAGGAGTTGAATAAATGAGAAAGGAAACAGGGAGGAGAAACGAGGAGAGGAGAGATGAAATGGGTAGACAGAGTAGGACTAAAGGGAGATGAAGATAGAATAAAGAAAGATAGAAGAGGACATGAAGGAGGAGAGGAGAGGAGATGAAAAAGGATACATGTAGAAGAAATGAGAGAATAGAAAGAGAAAGAAGGAGCGAATGAGAAATGAGGTGTGGAGGCAAAATGATCAGAGGAGAAAGGAGATGAGAAAGGAAAAAGGAGAGGAAACTAGAAGAAGAAAGGAGGAGAGAAGAGGAGAGATGAAATGCATAGATGGGAGTGGATTAAAGAGAGACAAAGAGAGGAAAAAAGAAAGACAGAAGAGAACACGAAGAAAGAGGAGTGGAGAGGAAAGTAAAAAGGAGGAGAGGAGATGGAAATAGATAACGGTAGATAAAATGAGAGAGGATTGAAAGAGAAATTAGGAGAGAAGAAGAAATGAGAAAGGAGGTGAGCAGATGAGATGAAGACATGAGAGAATTAAAGAGAGAGGACGATCAGAGAAAGAAGGAGAGAAGAAGACATGAGGAAGGAATTGAGAGGAACGTGGAACGTAGGAAAGGGCAGGAGGAAGGATGAGAGCAGACCAGAGAAAATAAAAGGGAGGAGAGAGAATGAGAAAGGAGTGGAGGACAGGGCATGATGAGGAATGAGAGCAAACGAGAGGTGGGTAGAAAGAAAAGAGGACAAGTGGAGGAAAGGAGAAAGGAGGATAGAAGATGAATTGAGCAAGGAGGAGAGGAGGAGATTTCTCCCAGTTGCTGTTGGCTGGGTGGCGTTTCACATGGACGATCTTGGCACAGTGGGATGGACACTGCAAATGTAATCACTGCTAATATCTCAGCACCATCTCTCTCTTTCTCTCTCTCTCTCTCTCTCTCTCTCTCTCTCTCTCTCTCTCTATCATCATTTTTATCGATTTATTGTTTTACAGCAACCTATAGTGCGAATTATTGGATCTGATTTCTCTTTGTCACAGTGGCTTAGTGGTTAGCACGTTTCCTTGCACCTTTGACGTTAGGATTGGCATGTTATCCTGACGTTTTAGGGGTTTTCTCCGAGGTACTCCGGTTTCCTCCCCCAGTCCAAAGACATGCGGTGTAGGCTGATTGGCATTTCCAAAATGTGTGAATGGGTGTGTGATTGTGCCCTGCGATGGGTTGGCACCCCATCCAGGGTTTACCCCGCCTTGTGCCCCAAGTTTTCTGGAATTGGCTTCAGGCTCCCCCGTGACCCTGTGTGGTATGGAAAATGGATGGAAAAAGCCTGGTATCATGAACAACCTGTAATCCATCCAAGATGCTTAAAACAATTTCTAACCCTGTCCGTCATATAAATAAAAAAATCTTAAAGGTTCACTAACTTTCAAGCACCACAGTACATATATTTCATACTTCTTATCTTTAATGTAATGATAAAAGTCACACAATTAGGTCTCACTTATGTATAACGGATGGGTTCCTTTTTAGACTGTAAGGTTTTTCCTTGATTTCTTTGAAGCTGCCTTGGAAACGGCTAAAACTAAGGAACCCTGGTTTTAATTACTACTAAACATACTACCAGGATCTTCGGCTTAGAATCACAGTTAATATTTGCAAAACGTATCAAACATGAAAGTAAAACAGAAGGGTGTGTACACACAAGCTAATGAAACACAACAAGAACCAATAACTACTAACAGGTGCAAGCGATCCTGAAGGTCAGCGCAAAGCCGGAACACAGGTGAAAAACCCTGAAGCCGGTATGTACTGAGATCTTACCACGCAGCAGCTATAATCTCAGGGGTAACCACCAGCCTGTGGATATTTATTGTGTGTATTGACAGAGTGTGGGTTTTAGTGTAGCGCTTCTGCATTTCCTAGGCAGCATATGGGTCCAGTGCAGTTATTACCAAACCAACACAATCATCCTTCACTCTGTCTGCTCGAATGATGCCGCAAATGCAATTACAACGTGGCCAGCGAGGGGAAAAGGAGGAGGGCTTCCACGTAAAAATTTAATTAAAATATACCATATTTGACTCCCTTTTGCCGGATAATATTATTTCACAATGATCTTTCAGTTTCACATAAATCTATCTATCTATCTATCCATCCATCCATCCATCCATATATACGTCCATCCATACATCCATCCATCCCAGTTGTTTTTAACCCGAAGAGATAGGAAGGGGGGGCATTAGTTACAAAAGGTTGAGAACCTCTGATCTATATAATAGTTATAAAATCACAGGTTTATATTAATGCGCTCATTTTTGTAGTAACTACTTGATTAACAGACAATCCCACTGGTTAATTCAAGCCTAGCAATAAACAAATTTCTCCATCCATCTTCTATACTGCTTACTCCTTTTCACGGACACAGGGAAACCTGGAGCCTATCCCAGGGAGCATCGGGCACAAGGCGGGGTACACCGAGGACAGGGTGCCAATCCATTGCAGGGCACAATCACATACACACTCACACACCCTTTCATACACTACAGACACTTTAGACACACCAATCAGCTTACCATGCATGTCTTTGGACTGGGGGAGGAAACCGGAGTACCCGGAGGAAACACCCGCAGCACGGGGAGAACATGCAAACTCCGCACACACAGCGCCACGGTGGGAATCGAACCACCGATCCTGGCGGTGTGAGGCGTGAGATGAACGTGCTAACCACTAAACCACCGTGCGCCCTAAACAAATTTCTTAAACAAAGAAAATTATTTTTATCCTTTCTGGAAGAAAACATTTATTTTAATGTTAATTGAAGGAGTCTCTATTGTCAGTTTTCTAATTACCAAAGTTTCTGGTCAATAAACTTTATTTCAAGCAGCTTTTACTGTAAATACTAGTAGAGAAGTAGTCTTAAGTAGAAATATCTTGATTATAGTCAAGTTGAAATAATATTTTTTTCTTTATTGCATTCATCCATTCATCCATCCATCTTCTACCACTTACTCCTTTTTCAGGTTCATGAAGAACCTGGAGTCTATCCCAGGGAGCATCGGGCACAAAGCGGGGTACACCCTGGTCATGGTGCCAGTCCATCGCAGGGCACAATCATATACACACTCACACACCCATTCATACACTACGGACACTTTAGACACGCCAATCAGACTACCATGCATGTCTTTGGACTGGGGGAGGAAACCTGAGTACCCGGAGGAAACCCCCACAGCACGTGGAGAACATGCAAACTCCGCACACACATGGCCCCGGCTCGAACCCCAGACCCTGCTAACCACTAAGCCACCGTCACCGTGCGCCCTTCATTTATTCATTTCTAGAAAAAAAAAGGAAATCTACTGATTGAATAACTATTTTAAGCTGGAACTGATTAAATATGTCTATAAACATACTTAGTGGTCTTATATTTGTTATATATAGCGATGATCTCATCAGGGATGGAGAGGTGAGGCGCAGGCAGACTAATCCAAAACATGAATCACACTCAGAAACAGGAAACAAGAGATCAGGCAATTTGCAAAGAATTAAAACTACTGTAGGTAAAGAGCACTAATGAAAAAATAGAACAATATCAAGAACTGGGAAATCAGAACAGAGAACAATGGCTTGGTAAAGACAGGCGAGTAAACACTAAACAACACTGAGATGCATCATACTGAGACACAAGGGTTTAAATATACAAACTAATCAAAGGGCAAACTGAAACAGGTGCGAGTAATTGAGACACATGAGGGAGACAACCAATGAGCAGACATGAGTGGAGACCAGACTTGAACAGGGTTCTACAGTGTGACCATTTCAGCCGCATTTGTGACTGAAAAGTACTTTGTACGACTGTTAAAAAAATATATAGGCGCACCAGTGCGAGTGATCTGTTCGGAGTGACCTGTTACAATCAGAATAAAAACTACAGGAAGTCCAAAATGCATCTACACCACGCAACAGTTACTTTCATACTGCTTTTCATCATCTCGGTCAACCGATCAAGTGTGGAAATACTGCAGAGAAGCCATTATGATGATGAGTAACTCTGTACATCATCTGCTTCTCTCAACCTGCCGATCTCACAAACCGCCATCTTTTATTGATCCCGCAAAATTGACCTGAACCTGCGCCTGCTCGTGTAGACACGGTGGCGTTGGGTGGAGTAAATTAATAATAATGCTAACACTTCAAGGGGGGTTTAATTCAAACTTCTTTATTAAATAATACCTCACCAATCATAATCAAGAGTAGAAACTGTTCAGTCTGTAAACATACAGTATACTGCCGCTCTCCATTCACCAACTCTAATAGCGCATTCACTTCATTTAAACTCAGGGTTGCCAGATATCACTAGAAAAGTCAACTCCAGTTTTCATGTTTTGATTTAAACCCCCAGAAAATGCAATATTATCAGCAAACATGGCAACACTGTACTGGAGGAACCGATCTTTTAACGGAACAACTAATAAACAAACAAACAAAAAACTAATAAGTTGCAAAGACAGAAAATGTGCTTAGTTATAAATAAATCATTTAATAAAAAAAAAACAAATAGATATTATAATACCTTCATGAAATATAAATAAAATGAGAAATTAAATGTCTAATTACTATTGGTTGCACTTTAATATCAATTTGACATTAAGCTTAGTAAGCTATTTCCTTCTGTTTCCTAATATGGATCATGTTTGTGTTAGTCTACCTTTTAATTAGGACTCTTTATTGTTTAAGATACTTAAAAAATAAAAATTTTATGCGTGTTTATCAATTAGGCAACAGTATTTCTCATTGCTATTATTTTAATTCAGTTAACAGTTCAATTCAATTCAATTCAATTTTATTTGTATAGCGCTTTTTACAATAGTCATTGTCTCAAAGCAGCTTTACAGAAATAAAAAAAACAGGTATAAACAGTCAGAAACAGATAAAGAGAGACAAACAGGAACAGATAAACAGAGACAAACAGTGACCATGAGCAGAGAGCTTACATTTAACTGTTTATGACGGACGTGATGATTAAAGCTTAAACAAAAAAGATTGGTATATGGATTGGTTTCGGTCGATCAAGATGATAAGAAATTGGTATCGGCTGTAAAAAATCCTGATCGGAGCACCCCTAATGAACACCATTAACCTAACGCGCTTTGCATCTGACAGGAAAGTGAACTCACCCAATCACATCCTATGAGATTTTTCAGTTATATACACAATATCCACAGAACAGTTTGAGAACTGACTCCAGCCCAGAACCATGACAGTGCAAAATGTCTAATAGTGTAGCTTTAAATATATTTAAGAGGAGCAGACTTCAAAACCTGAACATTGAGGTTTATTGTATTTGTTTACAATGTAGAACAGGTGGACCGCACGATTGCTTAGTGGTTAGCACCTTTGCCTCACACCTCTGGGGTTCGATTCCCGTTGGGGCCATGTGTGTGCGGAGTTTGCATGTTCTCCCCGTGATGCGGGGGTTTCCTCCGGGTACTCCGGTTTCCTCCCCCAGTCCAAAGACATGCATGGTAGGCTGATTGGCGTGTCTAAAGTGTCCGTAGTGTAGAATGGGTAGTGTATGTGATTGTGCCCTGCGATGGACTGGCACCCTGTCCAGGGTGTACCCCGCCTTGTGCCCGATGATTCCTGGGATAGGCTCCAGGTTCCCCATGACCCTGAAGAAGGAATAAGTGGTAGAAGATGGATGGATGGATGTAGAACAGGTGAATGGTTGTTTTTTGCATACAGTCTGTAAAATTAACTGAAAATATGAAATTTAGTTTATCAGAAGGTAAATTAATTTGTCATGGCTCACACTATGTTCCTAAATTCTGCCATAATTGACCAGCTCAAGTTCTCTCATGCCTATTTGTGTTATATTGTGACACATTAACGTTACAATCTCTAAAAAAATAAAAAAAAAATAAACCTCAACCGTACTCCTAAATTTTTGACTGTGCTCCTAAATTTTTGTAATTAGGTCCTAAAAGTGCTCTTAAAAGAAATTGTTACCGTCGAGCCCTGGACATGAACCAAAACAAGAACACATATGGTAATGTAAACAAGCATAAGACAACCTACAAGAGCACACTGTAGCGATGCAGGCTGTTGTGCACATTCAGCATGAAAGTGAAAATTCCTGACAGATCTCGTAATGATAAATATTACATAACTTCTCCTTTACTCAAGACATCACTTGCTATAAGATGGCTATTGTTTAATCCGTTAGATTGTGTAGCTGTGCCTCATACTGAGACTCGTACGAACACCAGTAGTATATTATGCAGTTTTTCATTATCCTAACCTTTACGTACACATTTATATAGACCTAACCTTCACACTCAATTCCAGTCTCATGTCTTCCTCTCTCTCTCTCTCTCTCTCTCTCTCTCATAGCATGTGGTCTAGCTGGCGGCTCAGATGGAGAAAATGTGCCTCGAATCAATTATTGATACCTGAACCTTTTGCCACTGAATCATCATCATCTCTCTCTCTCTCTCTCTCTCTCTCTCTCTCACTCACACACACACACACACACACACACACACAGGAATACATTCGGCCTGAAGTGGACAATAAATGTCACATACAAAGGAATGTCAAGTAGATAACTGTTAATCGTTGATGCTGCAGTTCTGTAACGTTGCCTGTGAAAAACGAGGATATCACATGCTTATGTAGTGCTTTAGGAGTTTAGTACTAACGACATGATTTCTGTTATAATGTAGGACATCTAAAAGCAGAGGATTGTGTGTGTTTGGAATTGAAATCACCGGTGCTCTCTGATAGCGCGTGCACTCTGATGATGCATGCAACTTCCTGCTCAGATGAGAGCAACCATCTTAGTGCTCATGATGGATAACTTGCAGATTGCAACAAATAATAAAGCAAAGAATTTACATCACACGCCCATAAACACACACACGCACACATCACACAGTCAGAACTCTCTTATATTGCACCATAAAAGCAATATGACAGGTTTTAATATTCATAATAAAGTTATTTATAGTAACATGCTCCTAATATCAAGGTTATTTGATGCCACTGGAGCCAGCAGCAGTACTGAATGCTTTAACATCCAGATGCTTGGAACTTATTCTTATAATGAAAAAAGTAAATGCTCCTAAGTGCTGCATAGCATATTGCAGATTACACTTAGGCTGTGTTCACAGTAGTCATTATTCACAGTCTGGAGTGTTCATTATACTGATAACTAAGAAGAAAAAATCATATAATAACCATATTTTTTATTTTACTTCATTTTTCCCCCTCATTTTAGTTCTAATTCCTCCCCTATTATCTAGCTCTCCCTGTATCCCCCTAGCTACCAAATGGGCATAATGTGCTTCCTTGGAGATATGTGAAGCTTTTTCAAACAGCTGCTCATGCTGAACATGCTTGAAGGAAAGTGCTAATTATATTCTTCCATATATACATTTATATTTTTATATATATATATATATATATATATATATATATATATATATATATATATATATATATATATATATATTGGAATGCCTTCCAGGAATAGTGGTACCCTTGGTAAATATGAGCAAAGAAGGCTGTGGAAAATTTTCATTATTGTTTAACCTTTTGATCTTCTGTTCAAAAAAATTCACAAAAATATTTTGCTCTCATGGATTTCAAACAAAGATAACTACAAAAAGATGCGGTGCTGTGAACTATTTTTTCGTGTTTTCAATCCTGTGACAAGACCTTGTTGCGTCAGTTTGTTTACCA